GTTTTGACAATTTAGTTGCGTAATTTAAGTAATAATTTAATAATGACAGACAAATCAAATAGAATGCAATTGACTGAATCCACATGAACAGTTTTTTTTTCACAATTGGCCTACAGGCTAGATTTATTAAATACTTGACTTGAAAAAATATTTAAGTGAATTATTGTGGATTATATAATATTAATTCAACTAACTAAATGAATTAATGTATATTAAATTTGCATATTAGATTTAGATTAGGCTATATTCAATCTGAACAATTGTATATTTGTACATATCTCAGAATTGTACATCTGTAATTAACATCTTGAACTGTATAGCTGTAAATGACATAACTGTACATTCATAAATCTATATATATATATATATATATATATATATATATATATATATATATATATATATATATATATATGTGTGTGTGTGTGTGTTCTGATTCTGATTTACCATAATGGATGAAGTATTTTGATTAGGATAGATAGATATAATAGTAAAATATGAAAAAATCTGTATCTTGGCATTGATATGGCCTGAAACATTTACACATTGTTCACAGATTTTTTTCTAAATGTGAAATAAATGGCCCATTTTTCTTCTGATTGTTGTTTTCCAGTGATGACATTGTTGTACCAGACCTTGCAAATCCTTTTGGGTCCAGCGAAGACAACCGCAGGTTAATTTTTTTGACTACATCTCCCTGGGTCTTGCTTTACTATCTTCAAACCCGCCTGATCAAATAAGGTAGTACAGTTGCCCCAAGGTTCAAAGTTCGATGTCACATCAGAGATAATGCTGAGATTTCCACAGCTGACACACTGTCATGCTGAAGAAGCCATAGCTAGAAAAGCTGCCAAAACAAAATGTTGTTGTGCCTTCCAACTTATTTAAAATGACTTAACAAGTCCTAACGAAAGACATTATACAGTTGTGCATGTTTAACACAATGGTGCCAGAATTTATCTTTAAAGTGTAAATGTTAAAATGTTTCAAGTTAGGAAATCAAATTACTGTATGAATTCAGATCCTTGCTATTTTCCTCTATAAAAAGTGTAATGATATTAAGCGAAACTAAAGTGGCCTATTATCTTTGATTCTGTATGACAGGCTCTTGCAAAGCTACATCAAGAGCAGCCTGAAGGAAGGACAGACCAGTCCAGAGCTGAACACAAGGGAGCAAGGTTAGCATAGTTCATTATTAACATGGCCTCTCAGTAAACTGCTTTTATTTCCACTACTTCTGTGTGTTTTTCTATTTTGCATACAATTTCATTTCCAATCATTTCAGTGCTATTTTGAAAATGTTCATAGATTTATTTTCTTAAATACACAGCAGATTATCTAAATACATCAGTACAGAGCCTTCTCAGGTTTTTATAAGCTTCTTATTGTATGATTTGTTCTCTTCTTGTCACAGAGATATTCTTCCTTTTCTCCTTGTATGACTATGACAGAAGTGGGCAGATGGATGGCCTTGAACTGATGCAACTACTGACAGATTTCCTGACTTATCATGAAATGATGCCAAAGTCAGCAGATTATGTGAGTGCTGCTTAGTTTTGTCACAACATTCAAAGTAAAAAGCCCTTGAATTCTCTTATGACTTGAACTCATTTACATTTTACAGTCAAACCGAAATGTATTCAGACCCCTTCAACATTTCACACATTATCTCAGTTTATTCGATATAGTTTATAAAATGCTAATAAAATATGACAGTTAAACTGTGTCAGAACAAATTCATCTTGATAATGTCACATAACACTTAAGCAAAACATGGTCTGGTCAAAGTGTCTGAATAATTTTTGGTCCCAAATTATTATCAATTTTACTGCTAGTCCACTGTATGAAGAATTTTTGGGTATAATACATATGTCATAGTTTACTTTATTTTGCTATCCTCACTTTCATAAATAAACTATAGTGTCCTGCACCCACTTGTAAAAAACAATATCAAAAATGATATATGGTGTCTGAATAATTTTTGGTTTGACTGTAGGTTGTATCTTTGGTGGATTATCTGCTACAAACTCATGATTTGAACCAGGATGGACTGCTGGTTCCTTCAGAGCTGTTATCATCCACCATAAACCATCGGCAAGAAAACAACATTGCTCCCCCTGATCCACCTGCTGAGGAGGCCTTAAATCAGGGACAAACACATACAGATTCAAAGGATGGAGTTTCCGAATCTCACCAACAAGATGCAGAGGTCAACCAAGTGTCTGAACATGAAAATGAGACTTCAGACTCAGCTAAAGAAGAAAACGTGGAGGCTGAGAGTCACAAGCAGATACCTGAAAAGCTTGAAGAACAGCAGGACCGACTGCAGCCTCCAGAAGAGCAGGAGTTGCAAGATGATCATCAGGAACAGAAGAACATACCAGTACATCAAGGGCAACCCGAGATATAATGCCAATTTAAGCATGAAGTGCAACTTTAGAGACTTGTACAAATCAGCCACACTTTTGAAACCCACTTACCTGCTGCATATACTGTACTGTATGACTGATGCATAATTTAAATCTGGACATACTAAAAGTTATGGAAGTACAAGAGCATGTGTGTATGTTAGCATTGTGGTACGCATCAAGTTATTGTGAATCCTCTGAACTGAGTAATGGAACCCAAACACATAATCATCTGAATATGTAACGCTCTGTTCAAACTATGCAAACCCAGCTTGGATTTACTGAGTGTTTATTGCAGGAATCTAGTCACAGCCAACTTAGCAACCATTGTTAGAGTTTTGTACCCAACTCGGTAACACTTTATAATAACTTTCATTAATAAATCATTAACAAACATTATATAATGTTTAACTAATCATTACTTAATATATATTCACATATCTAGAAATATGAGAACATGTGCTTGTTATTGTTAACTAATGAACTTATTAAACTTTACCAAATGATTAACAGATCTTTAATGTAAATTGAAATGCTTACAAATGTCATTAAACTTTCAATTCATATCATGGATTTTTTTTTTTAATCTTCAAATGATTTTGACAGATGGTTTACAATGATTTAAAGCTTGTTTAATAAATCATTAACAAACATTATATAATGCTTAACGGATCATTAGTTAATGTTTACAAATGTCATTAAACTTTCAATGCATTTTAAAAATCTACAAATGATTTTTACAGAAATTATACAATATTTACAAGCTCAATGTACTTTTGAATGCTTACAAATGTCATTTAACTTCAGTTCACATATTAGCTAATGCTCAGTTTTACATTTACAAATGTGAAAATATAGCTGATAGGCACTTCACAAACTATTCATGTTAATATATTCATCTCATAATCACAGTCTGTAAAGGTCATATATTTGGTCTTTGTTGTGTTGACTTCCATTGGCACATCTCAAATCATTTGTTAATAATTTGTTAAGGTTTTTGCAGTACCAAATCTAAAGTGGAAACTAATCATTAGTACCTTTATGAGCAGTCATTTTGATGGCAAAAAGTGTCCCAAATGACCGGAATTCACCCTATTTTCTCATCTTTACAAATAATTTATTGCTCATTTGTTCATGTTTTTGCAGTACCCAATCTAAAGTGGAGACTATTCATCATTTCTAAATGTTTATAAACATTTACTAATTTTTTTAGTATCTTTATTAGCACTGGACTTTTAGCTACTTTAACAATGTTTGTGTAAACGGTGGTTAGTTAGGTTTAGCTAAATGCTTGCTAAAGACACATCACACACTGTAATTTGGGTGCAAAACAGGTTATCATTACCTCAACACTTATTAGTATGCTATTGTGTATCATTAAAGAATATTCCTCGAGTCATACATCAACAGGAGAGGGGGGGGGGGGGGGGG